TGAGACTCCGGCCGGCAGACACTTGTGCGGTTACATACCTGAGCAACCGGATCTCATTGACTCCTTGACCTCGGGTTTAAGAAACAGAGTTCCCTTGACCCGGGAATAAATAAACTGAGGAAACCCGCCGCGGCACGTTATCATCTATACGCGAGAGAATTTACTGATACTTTCCATTGAGATCCCTCGGCCCCGGGGGACTATCCGATGTTTACCTCTTTGGCGCCGTATCACCGGCGAGACCGCTCAATTACACAGGAAACGTTAGTCCACGGCTAACGTAACATTACAAAGTGAGATTAGTCTGTCTGACATTATCATTCTACGACATTGTATTGAAATTTCCGCACAGTCACGTTTCGATTCGATTGTACGGAAATTTACAAATGTATTTACACTCGGAGAAAATAGTAGTAAGTGTAATGATAATATAAATGTAACTTTGTTGCGAAAATGCGAAATCGGCATCGTTACAGAAAAAGTGCGAAATACTTTCAGTGTAAAACTAACGACTACGCGATATTATTCAATCACTATTGTATTATTTTTGTATAGAAACTTTGCGATGCAATATTGGTATTGTTATGCGTTATGCGACATGCGTATTTTGACCAACAGCGAAAGATAGCTTTATAAATTATTAATCAAAAATTTCAGGCGATAAAAATTGGCCTCGGTATAAGTTGTATGAATGATCGAAGGAAGTGATTCGATTAGGAAGTTAATCGATCAACTGACAGTCCGTTCGACTGCACTCATTTTGCACTTGAGTTTCACATTTGTTTACGCAAACCTTATAGTCTGCGTGATAACGCGTGGTTTCTCAAGGTTTATCGGGATACTTTCGGTTTAAATGTACTTAAAAGTCCATCGGCATATAACTAGGTCTAGATTGAATCGAGCACGATTATCTACGTTCGACATCGTGTTCTTGAGTCATTTCCACATATTTGATAAGAGAGATTATCGCCGATAGGAGAACCAATCTTGAGAAATTGCTCAGTTATGTTTGCTCTACCAACCTACGATAAATCCTACACGTCGAATGAATAAATGTTACATTTACATAATCTAATATAAATATTACATAACAAGAATCAGAGCGTATATTTCATAAAAATATATTCTTGATTTTTATTTAATTAAAATATAAAAAATTTTATATTCTCTATTAAAGTTCTATTTTAATGAAATGTTATGGGAAAATAAAAATCTTACGTTCTAAATTTTAGGATTCTAAATCATAAATTAGGATTTATATTGTATCTATTATAAAAAAATTGAATAGTTATGCAAAATAACATATTTGTATAAATTAAATATTTTTAATATTATTTTTATGTTATTATTTAAATATTTTGACAATTTTAAAAATACATTTATTGATTAAGGAAATGCTGAAATTTCTTTAATGATAAAACAATAACAAATCCCTCTAAGTCTTTCGAGGTTAAAGATATGAAAGTTATCTCGGTAACTTCACCGCGCTTTTCCAGAAACATATATCGTTATGTCGAATAAAATTTATCAATAGCCCACGTGACTTCGCGGAGCCAAGTGCGCTGTCGCATGAAAGAAGCGGTATGCCTATAATTAGCGTCTCGTCTCGTTTTATTCCTTTTCGAAATCGGGACAACAAAACGACTGTGCGAGGACTGTGCGACCGATGGAGTAAATCGGTGGAGTATCTCCTGCACAGCTGCCGCACACGCAACGCTGAGAATGTAAATCCGAGGTGAGCCGAACGTAATCATGCGCTTCCTGCTGCCACGCCGCATCCGTTCGTGAAATGGCCTGTATAGGTAGGTACTCAGGCTTACCTTGCGCGCGCGTGTGCGCGCGCAGGACCGTGTAAGCGCGCGCGCGCACCACACACACACACACACACACACACACACACGCACACACGTCGTACACTCTTACGAATAAATTTATGGAGCGCCGCGCCGCGCCGTGCGTACACCATGTGGAAAATCATGAGGAAAGCTGGCGCAGTCCGAGTTAATCTTTAAGCTAGCGTCAGGCCCTGCGTACAATGAGGAAGCATTAGGAACTATGGGCGACCTAGAAGAAGGAGGACGAGGGGATTGGAAGATTCAAATTCCCTCTTCTCCTTCTGAAAATGAAATTAAAAAGAAATTTAAGTAAAGTTAAAGTTACGATTTACAAAAAATCTAATATTTACAAAAACCTAATATTTTTTCTCATTCAAAATCAGGTATGATATTCTCTAAGCTTTAAAGGCTCTAAAGAAAATAATTCATTGGCACAAAAAAATTATTGTTTATATGTTAACAGAATTGATAACCTTCCCTCCAAAAAAAACTC